GCGCCCGGGGATTCTCGGCGGGCGAACTAGCCGGACTGGCGGGGACTTTGAGGCTGAAGGCCTCTCCTGCTCACCGGCCTTGGCGTCCATTTCCCACCGTGTTTCATGCTGCGGGGTCTGACCCCAGAGGTGCTGGGAATAGCTGCCGAGTGCCACTGATTCCCACTGCCCTCACAAACCGAGCCTCTGCCCAGACAGCTTTCCACAGGTGGCCAAGCTGAGTAGGGGCTAGCAGACACTCAGGCGATGGCTCCACAGGGCAGGCGTGGCGACCAAAGTGCTGGTGACGTGCAAAAGTCGGCAAAAGGGAAAACGGTCAAACTGTTTTTTCTGCCTCCTGGTGTCAGCATTTCATGGCCACGTGGCTAGCACCCCTGGTGACAGACAGAGCAAAGCACTGTGGGGAAGCATCCCACAATGCAATGCGGTGGAAGATAGAGCTGATCCCTGCGCTTCATGGGATTCCCTCATAGCAATGTGAGCACGCCGTGCTAAGGAATGTCACAGCAGCACGGCTGTCTCGCCAGCCCTCCCCCTGCAGCAGCTGTCAGATACTTCCCCTGCCTTTACTGTCGTCAGAGCCAGTGTGGACTCTGCTGTTGGTTTTGTCGAGAGAACTGGCTACCGTCAGTATCCCACGATGCCTGCCCTGATGGCTGAGCTCAGTATTTTGTGATCTCTGCTGCCCTGCAGGCATGCGCCCCCTCCCCTTTCAAAGCTCTGGGAAGTATCTAACAGCTGAGTGAGCAGCTCCCTTTGGGGCACAAACAGAGAACAAATCATTGGAACGCTTCTGTTCTGCCCTGCTGGGAACACAGCAGCAGGCAGACTGTTGCTGCAGGGGGAGGGCTGGAGTGGAAATTACAGATGCAAGCACAAATACACATTTTAAATTGTGACCAGACTCTGCGTTGTTTTGGTGGATACGGACTAACACAGCTGCCCTTCTGATATGTTCCTCACTGAAACAATTCACTCCAGGAATTTCTCACCGAGGAGTTAAGGCCAATAGGGTGAAGAAATACAAATAGCTACACCAATGAAAATGTTTTCTGCATAAGAATGTTGCCTTAAGTAACTGGTCCCAGCTGGGTCACTGTTTCCCCTAACAAACAGCTGGGACACACAGACACTTTCCCATCGGTAGAGGTACCTATAGGTATGGAACGATGTGATTCCTTGAAGAACGGCCTTCTGAAGATTTATGTGCACTCCCAGGAGAACTGCCCCTGAGTCAGAGTCGCTCTCTGGCACCAAACACCCCGTGGGCAGGGAGCGGTTCCCTTTGTAGCACCCTCCCTGCGTGGGGTGTGGCTCGCCAGCAGAGCTGGGTGTGACTCAGGAGCTGTCCATCATGAAGCATTAGGTGTCCTCCTGGCAGAACCGGTTCTGACTGGGGAGTTTAGTCCTTTTTAGACCTGAACTTGGCAGGAGGGTTCCGCTCCGCTGTAAAACTGGTTTAATTTGGGGAGTGCTCTGCCTGGTAACAGTGTCTCTGCTCTTGAGAGCGAGTTGGCTTTGAGGGCCACTTCTTCCATGTGGATTGGGTTGGGGTGTTGTCCCCTTGGAAAAGCCACGCCTGCTCGGAGGCGGGGAGCAACAATCTAGTTGGGATGGGGGTCGTTATTACCCTAGGTCTGGTTGTCACCCATGTGCTTGTTGGGTTCTGCAGAAGGTGTTGTCACTGGGGACAAGCCATCTCTGCAGAACAGCCTCTGGGCTGGGTGCAGCGTGCTGCATCATCGAGGCCTAGATGGTGTTTTGTTCTTTTGCAACTACAGGTCTCCCTCAGGCTTTTGTCCCAGTCACTGCGCGTTGTTGTTGTCCCTGAGGAACTGGTAGAGTAATGGTCGTTGTGGAAGAAGTTGCCCTAGTTGTGTATTGTATACTTGTGGCTGTTAAGATGGAGGTTTCACCTTGCAGGACAGGGACTGCGGGGGATGTTGTCCACACACTAGGAAAGTTCCGTGTCAGAGAATCAGTTGTTGGCAATGAAACACTGATCTTGCTTGTCAGGTGGTCTCCCATGAACTGGACATGGCCATGCCAAGCAGCCCTGGTGGGGATCTGTACACTCCCCACCTTGGAACTGAGGGCTTGAGGTACTGCTCCTTTGAAGCACAGGTTCTGTGACTCTCGCCTCTTGTAGAACTGGGTTCTGCTTAGGAAACATCCTCCCTATGAAAAATGCCTCTGGACGGAGATTGTCCTTGTTTGGGGCTTGTCCACACGGCAGTTCTGGTCTTGTTTGGGGTGAGTTTTCCCACTTAGAACCAATCCACATTGATGCATTGCATAGGTAGACACCGGCTCACTCCAAAATCGGTCTGTGTTGGGGTGTTTTCTCTTCTGGAGAACCGTTTACAATGGGGAGCAGGCCTCTTCGTAGAACCGGCTCCGATGGGAGTGCCGTCCCTCCTGTAAACCCATTCCTGGGCAGAGAATTGCTACGCACATACAGCTGGTCTTGTTTTGAGTGCTCCCCTGGCCGATATAGTTCTGGTTCCACCTGTTGCATCACCCCCAGTAGAACTGGCTGAGGTTGGAGAGCTCTCCTTGAGGGCTGGGAACATGTAAGCCCTTCCTTTCACTGGGGCTTTTCCTCAATAATCCTGAAGCTACCTTGGCGGGGACAGGGGGACGAAACAGAGAAGAGGAGGAGAAGCAGGCAGACGGAAAAGGAAGAAGGGGATGAGAGTTGGATCTACAAGCACATAGCCCAGGGCTCTTAGCAAGAGAAGATGGAAAATTCAGGCTGAACCTCTCTAGTCCGGCACTTTCTGGTCTGGCAACATCCGCGGTCCAGCATGATGTCAGTGAGCCGGGTGTCCAATTACCATGGGTACGGCCACATTTCCCACAGCCCCGTAAAATTTGTTACAGCCCCCAGTGCTCTGTGCTGTCATTTAGCTCTAATTTGCCCCTAAATGTTGTCTCAGAGCCCAGCAAGCAGCAGCAGTGCTGGTGATGCTGCTAGATAACATTGACCTCCCGTGGTCTGGCAAATTCTCTGGTCGGCACCGGTGAGGTCCCGAGGACGCCAGACACCCGTGCTGTTTATTTCATGCTTTGGCATGGCTATGAAATTATTCGCACGCGGGTGCCAGGCGGCTGCATGCATTAGAATTGTACCGCTCGCTGTCCTGAGAGATCCTGCGTACAGAACTGTATCTATCAGGGGGTTGTTGTACTTCTAGAACGATGCCTGGTGGTGTGATTTCTCCCCCCGTGAAATGAGTCCTGGAGGAGACTAGTCTTCCCCATCAGAAATAATCTCTCTTTTGCAGCACAGACTGCATGGACAGGATTCCCCTCAGGCCGAATACCGATTCTGTCTGGAATTTGTTCCTTTCCCTTCCCTGGCTGTGATGGGAGAGGCTGGGCTCTTATCGCTCTGGCTTGCAGAATTGCTGTTCTCGTAAAACCAAACCTGGCTACAGGTTTTCTCCTGCCTTGCAGAACTGGTTCTCCTTGGAGAGCCGAGCGCAGATCGTGACGCTGTTCTGCTTGTAGAACTTGGTCTGAGCTGAGAATTTCCCCCGTTGAAGACCTGTAGCTCCCCCCTGCCCGGAGCGGGGCCTGGCTATGACTCAGACTCAGTGGTGCTGTGAATAATCTTCTGCTTGTTCAATGTCCGCAGACACCTCTTTGCTCACCTCCGTTTCCTCCCCCTTCACCTGGGTGGGAAGCAGGATATCCCTGTGCTGTGCCCTGGGGCATGGTGGGTCTCTGGCTCAGAACGTGCCTTTTCTTTTGGCTAGTCTAACGCCCACTGCTGTGATCAGCTCCTAGTGGCGCTATCACTCCCCCTTCCAGCCGGCCTTCCTCCGCCCTCTCTATCTTTTCCCAGTGTGTCCCAGGCCTGGAGCACCCCCAGCATCGGCGCCTCTGAACCTCCATCAAAGCAGGGCCCGAGCCAAACACCTTCTGAGCTTCCAAAGGCTCCAGATTAACCTTTCCCACCCCTCTTGTTCTGTGCCTCAGCTCTTCCTCCTTGCTGGCTCAGTAACAGACCCTCCGCAACAGAACCCCCCTGCCCGGGGAGGTCCTAGAGACTTCGTAGCCCTGAAACCATTGGGGTGCCCTGGGCGTTGCTCTGGGCCATCTAAAGACTGGCCCTGTCTGAATTGTTGGAGAGACTTGAACAGAGGATCATCGCTCTCACGTCACAGGTTACTTTAAACATTCCAAAGGCAATCCCGAATTCTCTCTTAGCGTCTGCTCTGTCGTATTGTCGGCAAGCCAAGGAACAGCCCGTCCCGAGACACACGGCCCTGACAAGGGAAAGCTCTGTGGCAGAAGTTGAGCTCTTGCCCACTTGGTTCCACTCAATCCCCTGAATGTTTTAGTCTCCCCCTCTCCCCCTGTGACCTCCCTGTTCCCACCTGCAGCCGATTCATATTTTAAATAAGTTGAAATAATGGTGCTTGGTTTCCCCGCCCCCGGCGCTGCACCTGCTGTTGTCATTAGCGCAGGGAGCTCTTTGTGCCCACGCTGTGTTGGTGCAAGGCAGGAGCTAATCGGGCCTCTGCTTTCCAGAGCCAGGAGATGCATTTTCAAGGTCTAGGAGGTTTCCCCCCAAGCTCTCCACACTCCCCACCCCAAGTCTATACTCTCGTGTAACTCTCCTGGGGAGTCTCCATACACCTGCAGTCGTTCCACTGTCGGCGTCCATCAGTGGCTCGATTTTAAAAGGCTCCCTCGCTAGGCTCGTTGGCTGATAATCCCAGCCACAAACAACAACGTCCCCCCCTTGAAACGAGCCCGTGGTGTGGGCCCTAAATGCTAACGCAGATGTGCACGATCGCTGGCCGTGTCGGGTGCTACTTTCTGAGTCCGAAAGCGACATGGCAAACTACATCATTCCATTCCATGTCAGTGGGAGTGGGGGGAAACTGAGTCGCAACCGAAGGCTTAGCCCACCAGGTCCTTGGAGTTCACGGGGTTGCAGGTCTCTTTGCGCGGGCCATCTTGCGCTGTTCTGAATAAACCTTCTGAATAAACAAGCCCCAAACAGTAGGTGGTGGAGGGGCTGTGGCCTACGTGAGTCTGGTGGCATCTTTCGGAGAATCCATCGGTCCCTAAAGCACGCGGCAGCGGCTGCCCTGTGACTGATCCATTCCTCTCCCCTCTTTTGGTTTAGAATATGCAATGATGAGTCAGACGGGGGGCCAATGTCCATCCAGAGAGCCATACAGCTCCTGTGCTCCTTGGATGAGAAGTCTCAAGCCATGGGGGCGTACTACCTTCAGCACACCTGCTTCCAGGATGAATCTGCCAAGCAAGAGGTAAGCTCATTTCTTTGTGGCTTCGCTTTCAAAGCAGGCTCTGGTTCTGGGGGGCCCTCGCTATAGAAGGGCCCCTTGAGACTTCTGGGGCCTGGCTTTAAACTGCTCCAGGCACTTCTACTGTGTCTAGACTACACGCCTCTGTCGGCAGAAGCATGTAGATTAGACAGATCAGCAAAGGCAAATGAAGCCGCGATTTAAATGATCACGGCTTCAGTTACATTTACATGGCTGCCGCGCTGAGCCGACAAACAGCTGATCAGCTGTTTGTCGGCTCCCCGCTAGTCTGGACGTTCCACCTGTCGACATCAAAGCCCTTTGTCGGCAGCCCCGGTAAACCTCATTCCACGAGGAATAACGGGGCTGCTGACAAAGGGCTTTGATGTCGACAGGTGGAACGTCCAGACTAGCGGCGAGCCGACAAACAGTTGATCAGCTGTTTGTCGGCTCAGCGCGGCAGCCATGTAAATGGAAATGAAGCCGCGATCATTTAAATCGTGGCTTCATTTACCTTTGCTGAACAAACAAATCTACATGCCTCTGCCGACAGAGGCATGTAGTTTAGACGTACCCCTATTGTGGAACTGCTACCTACTTCCAGCCTCATCGGTACGTGTGCTACACCAATCCTAGGCTGCCTTAGATTAGATTCACACTAGGCATGGGACTGGTTAATCAGCCTTCCTGGGTGATGCTTACTAGTTATGGTTAACCAGATGGGTCAGGAGCAGCCTCCTGGCCACTGGAGGCAGGTGGCTGCTCCAACTCCACATGGCCCATCTCAGGTGGGGGACACTCCAGCCCGACCAGAGCAGCCCCCGCCCAAGGGGGGAGGCTGTTTCAGCCCAGCCCCGCTCCCGTTAAATCGGTTAACCGATTAGACATCACATTCAACTGGCTGACGAATTAAACAGGGTTTTACATCCCTAATTCCCACTCACCTCCCCCTACACATCAGCCCAGAATTTGGCCCTTGGATTCTGAGTGTAAATTGCACAAAGATAAACATCACCTCTGAATGCAGCCCATGGCTTCCGGGTGCAGGTACATCACTAGGCCATGTGGCCAGAGTGCCATTATCATGTGGTCTCTAGGTTGCTTTTCACTGCAGTAATAAGGCCTCTGGGGCCGTGTGCTCAGGCAATGGAAATCAGTGTAGCACTGCCGAAGTCAGTGGGTGCAAGCCCGAATTTCCTCCAGTTGAACATCTGGCCCAGGGTCTTTGCTGGCAAGTCTAAATCATTGGCTCCTCTCAGCTCTTTTCATCTGCAGAGCGTAGGGTGCTTTAGAAAAGAGGTACCCTTCAGAAAAGGAAACTGAGGCTCCGAGCTGTGAAGTGACTTGGCCAACGTCACCCAGAAGGTCAATCTCACAGTCAGGAATAGAACCCAGCTTAGTCCTCCTCCAGTGCTCTCTCCACTAGGCCACACTGCCTTACTACTCTGATACTTCCCCAATGCTCTCTCCACTAGACCACACTGCCTTGATACTCTGATACTGCCCCAATGCTCTCTCCACTAGGCCACACTGCCTTGCTACTCTGATACCCCCCTCATCAAGGCAAACAGCACAGACTTTCTGGACGACAGTTAGCAAACCATTTGACTGCCTTGTGAAGAATGGGGTACTTGGGTCTGTAATGCCCAGGGATCCCATATTCAATGAGAGTGCCCTGTGCTGTCTTGTGTTAACTTTGCCCCCGAGGGCTTTTAATCCCCACGGGCACACAGCCGAGCTGTTCGTGGCATGCTGACCCTTGTCCGGCCCGCCCTCTCACAGGTCTACCGGCTGGGTGGAATTGCCAAGCTGGTCGAGCTTCTCCGCAGCCCAAACCAAAACGTCCAGCAGGCGGCAGCCGGGGCGCTTAGAAACCTGGTCTTCAGAAACCCTGCCAACAAGCTGGAGACCCGGCGGCAGAATGGGATCCGGGAGTGTGTGAGCCTGCTGAAGAGAACTCAGAACACCGAAATTCAGAAACAGCTGACAGGTAGGCCCAAGCAAACATGAGACCCCCCCCCTCACCTCGCGCCCTGGACTGCCGCCCTGGCATGCCCCGCCTGGCTCCGACACACTGAGTATTGCCTGTCTCATGCCTTGTGTTGCCAACACACTTGTCCAAAGCACGATACCCGGCTGGGACGATCATTCGCACTCACTTCCCGGGTACAAATGCCAACACAAAGTGGGAGGCGGTGCCGGGTCAGACCCCGGGACTGCCCAGTTTATCAGTTTGCGGCTCGTGAGTTCTGACCGCGTTCCCCACCACTAGCCAGGGAATCAGATCCGAGGCACAGAGATCAGAACTATCCACCTCCACCCAGGGCTACCACCTAGGTGTGACCCTCTGAGAGCTGAGTCCAAAGCATTCTCGGGGAGACCCCTCCTCTAACACGAGTCCCCCCTGGTATGACAAGAGCTGAGATTTGGGGTTACTTCAGGGAATGTTGTGCAGTTTATTGAGTGACCCAGGCTTTTCCTAAAGCGTTGGTTCTACGGGACTGAGCGTACATGCCCACAGCGGGTCAGAGCAAGTGGGACTGACTGTATTGTACTTGCGCCTTGGACTCAAGTCTGTTCCCTTCACTGCCCCAGACTGAAATATACAGAGCGTATCCCCACATCCCATGGTGGGCTAGAGGGCACTCAGATAGACAGGAGGCAGTGAGCGCTGCCTGGAATAGCGGAGGTTTTTGTTAGCTGGAGAGGGTGGAGACCACTAGCCTAGTAGAGTGCATTAGAGGAGAACTTGGTTCAAGACCCATCTCCAGATAATACTGACTGTGCAGAAGAGGTGCCGTTCTGCGTCTATACTGGGAAGTTTGGTTTGACCTGTGAACACAGCACCACACGGGTTGATCGTGGTATGACTTAGACTGATACAATCCCATGGTTGGCAGAGACCTCAGAAGTCATCCAGTCCAGCCCCCTGCCCAAGGCAGGACCAACCCCAACTAAATCAACCCAGCCAGGGCTTTGTCAAGCCGAGACTTAACAACCTCTAGGGATGGAGATTCCACCCCCTCCCTAGGGACCCCATCCCAGAGCTTCCCCACCTGCCTAGAGAAATCGTTTTTCCTAATATCCAACCTAGACCTCCTCCATTGCGACTTAAGGCATATTGGGGTTGGTTTCAGAAGAAGCTTCCTTTTCCGGTAGAGCTGGGATTGGACGGGGTGACCGGAGCAGAGCTGCAAGCTGGGAGGTTATCTTAAATGGCTCTGGTCCCTTTCTTCTTTACACCAGTTTTGCATGGATGTAACATTCAGGGGCATATTCCTCAGCCTCACTGGAGCTGAGAGGCCTTTTGTGCATGGAGACCGTAAGCTAACGCTTGTCTGGCGTTCTCTTTCCAGGGCTGCTGTGGAACCTGTCCTCCACTGATGACCTGAAAGAAGATCTGGTACACGAAGCCCTCCCTGTCTTGACAGACTGTGTCATCGTCCCTTTCTCGGGGTGGTCTGATGGGGTCAGCAATAGGACAAGAGACATTATTGACCCCGAGGTATTCTTCAATGCCACGGGCTGTTTGAGGTAGGTCGGCCGAGAAGCAGTGCTCACTCCCTGCTCTTAACAGGGGCCCCTTGAGTGGCTGTTTCTAAAACGGCTAAGGGAAGTCGGTGCTGCATCACGCAGCTCGCAGGTAGACACAAAAGGGAAACTTTCCATCTCCGCTGGAAAAGCCTCCCTCCTCTCCTTCATGAATAGACTCTGACGGGCTGGATTTGTATTGGCAAATGTCGGTAAATATTGATTTCGCCCCCACACAGATGGAAAATATTATAGTTGATAATAATCTCGATTCACAGAGAGGCAAAGTCAGAGAAATGCCTCCTGCAAACTGACTAGAGTTTGATTTCAGGATATTTACGTAGTAAATTTTGACGCGATGTCGACAATTTCTGTTTTAATTATTTAATTTTTTCAACCTCAACATCTACTGTCGTTCATTATTGTCTGAGCTCTGAAATTTCTTGCAACGCTGAACATTTATATTGATAAAAAAACGTAAAAGCTTAAAAACAAACATTGAGGACCTCCTGAAGTTTCTTCCAGCCCTGTGATTCTATGGTGTTATCCATCAAAATTAAAAGAATGTCAGGATGCCCATACTAGCTCAGGTCCAGCTAGCTCAGTATCACTGTCTTCCTACAATGGTCAGTTACAGATGCTTCTGAGGGAATGAATGTAATTATTAAGTAATCCAACCCTCATATTTTCTTCCCAGTTTCTGGCAGTTTAGGAACACCTAGAGCATGGGGTTGCATCCCTGTCTGTCATGGTTAATAGCCATTGATGGATCTATCCTCCACGACTATATCTAACTCTCTTATGAACCCTGCTATATATTTGTCCTTCTCAACATCCACTGGCAGTGAGTTCCACAGGTTGATTATGTTTGTAGTGAGGAAGTATTTATTTACATTTGTTTTAAATTTGCTGCCTATTAATTTCATTGCATGACCCCGTTCTTATGTTGTGTGACTGAGTAAACAACACTGTGTTATGCACTTTCTCCACACAATGTATGATTTAAAAATAGTACAAGTGACACTCTTCAAAGCTACCCATTAAGTTTGCATCCTGACTAGATCTAGATGAACATTTCCCACTGGAATTGCTTTTCAACAGAAAATGGGGGTTTTGATCAAACACTTTCCCAGTGAGTCTCTGGTATCCTTGAAAACTGATTTTTTCATTAAAAACCTGGGGGCGAGGGAATAGCCCAAATAAGGAATTTGTGGGTTGGGAATGTGGATGGTGGTTTTGGGACAAAAATGTCCAGGATTTAGCTGGATTTTTAAAATGTTTAATTGTAAAAAAAAAATTGGTTTTGGTTATTTGATAAAACATCAACATTTCCTGTGTGGGACTAAAAGCCCACATTTCTGTTCCGGCTCCAACAACGAGCTCTAGTTAATAAATTCTGACTGATGCTTTTTCACATTAGATATTTTCATTCGACTTAGTCACTGGGTGTTGGTGCGTGCCAGTGTCGGTGACAAAGTGAGAGCGCATACATGGGCACGAGATGGTTTTGCGTCTTTCTCAGAAAAGCCAGAGAACGCCTTAGCTTTGAGATCTTCGCCCTGACTTGCCATTTCTTCTGCCAGCTTCCAGCGCCCCATCCCGCTGGGAACAGCTCAGTGGGGAGATGAAAAAGCTATATAATTAGGCACTTTAATGAACTGAATCTCTGCCTTGGGGAATGTAGCAACAGGCCGCACCCTTAACAGACGCGCTAGCTAATGGGAACTGCATTCCCTTGTGAAACTGGACTACGGCAGGGACTGCCCGTCTCGGCAGTCTGGGGGTGGGGATCACGTCTGAAGGACAGTTCACTGCTGCCTCCACGCCTCTCAGCTGTCATCTGCCCCACCCCTCTCAATGCACCAGAGCTCAAATCTGCAGAGACACGTGAATGGGGAAATGGCCGTATTGGGGGAAATGCAACAATTGCCATCCAGGGAGCTTAACACGAGCCAGGCTCAGCTTCCGCAGGGGTTTGCGCCCAGCAACACCCCGGAGGTACCGCCACACTTGAGATCAGATTGGGCCTAAAATGGGGCTGTGCCAATGAGGGGCCTGGACAGAGACCTGGCTGATCCGGTTTCTGAAAGGGCTTCTGGCTGGCAGATGTCCCTGAGCTATTGGACACCAGTGGCGTGTTCAAACAAGATCACTCCCTGCAGCTGTTCCGACTGTGCCGTCTTTGCCAATGCCTGACAGAAGGGGGCAAAAATATGTGAGAAAATCACCCCTTGAATCCACGTTTTGCCCTTTTATCTTAAAACCCAATGTCCCCCGTATGTGCGATGGCAAATCCCCGCCATAGCCTGTTGGATTGAGCCGAACCTTAGTGAACTTGGTTCTAAGTGTCGGAGGAATGTCTGTTGTTGTGAGACCGTAGGCAGCGTCTCTATGGGAGAGGCATGACTCATGGAATCCCTGGGAAGTGTTGGGAGCATCAAAGGCTGCCTTTAAACAAGTGCTTCTGATGCATTGCCTTGCGGATGGGACCTTTGTCTGCTGGGTAGGGAGGTCCCTTGTCAATGAGGACAACACAGTAGCAGGGAGGGACTCCGAGGGACAGGAGGTTTGGATTGCGATGATACGTTTTCTCTGTCATGCTTTCACCTGAAGAATAAATGTGCTTGCTTAGAAAGAGCTCTGGTTCCTGGGGAATTGGTTTACAGCCTCTGAGGAAAGAGTACAGCTGGCTCTTCAAACAATCTGACTTCTGGGGAATTCACGGTGTAGGCAGGGATCTGTGCAGCCTGGAACTAGCCCAGCCGGGCGGGAGAGAGACACATCTCTGCCCAAGAGCGTTGAGAAGGCCTTGAGCATTGAGTGGAGGCCCTTGCTAGATTGCAAGGGGGAAACATGGGTGCAGTTGCCCTGACCTGTGGCACCATGGTCCATACAAAGGTTACTATAACAGCCTAGGTATGGGCCAAGATGTTGGTCTTCTGCATTGATAATAATATAATATATGGAGATATACCTATCTCATAGGAGTAGAAAGGACCTTGAGTTCAGTCCCGTCTTCACGGCAGGACCAACTACTATCCCTGACAGATTTGGCCCAGATCCCTAAAAGGCCCCTCAAGGATTGAATAAACAATCATGGGCCTAGCAGGCCAATTCTCAAACCACTGAGCCATGCCTCTCTTCTTGGATGATGCATCTGCTCTTACTCTATCCACCACTCAAGGTCAGCGCCTCAACTTGTGCAAACTAGTGTCACTCCACTGAAGTCAAGTTGCTCCAGTGACCTCCAGTTATTCATTACGCAATGCTCTCTCTGGAATAATGCTAAGCAGTCTCCTAACTGTGTCATGTAACTGCACGCACACTGTCTCTGAGGCGATAAGGGGTGTTCTCTGTCCGGGGATGTCTTCCTACTAGACCTGTCCTCAAAGCAAAATCTGCAGGGGTGAAATTCCCCCCTCTGGACAGGAACACAGCAAGGCCTGGCTGATCAGGTTTAAATGGGACCTAGGTGATAAGTTGGCCTTCTTCTGGCCCTCTGCAGAGGGGTGAACCTCACCGCGAAACATGGTCCCTCGAAGAGGGCTGGATTCAAACAGAATTCAATATGGAGCTCAGCGATGGATGGAACGGCTTATCTGCCTTGCGTCATCCCCCTACCTATTGTAACATGTTTCCCTTCAGGAACCTGAGTTCTGCCGATGCCGGACGCCACACCATGAGAAGCTACCCAGGCCTGATTGATGCTGTCATGACTTACACCCAGAACTGTGTGGCTGCCAACCGGCCCGATGACAAGGTACCAGACGGGAACCACCCCCATACACAGCCCATCGGCGTAACCACAGCCGGAATCTGAGCCCCCGGTTCTCTTTGCACTGTAGTAACAGTTAAAGCTTGTAACAATACCACAAATGCGAGAATAACTAGGACCGTCTCAGGGATTCAATGGGCCCATCTGTACTGCAGTTGGGAGGTGTGGCTGCAGACCAGGTAGCTAGCAGCATGAGCAGTGACTGTGTGTGCACTCGGTGTCGCTGGCCAGCAGGACTGGCCCACGCAGGCAGGTGGGTTCACACTGAGCACTCAAAGTGCCCGGCTCTTTCAAAAGCCAGCCCTTTATTCTAGTGTGCAAATGGGCGCTGAGCTGTTTGGAGCATGCTGGCCTATGTGTCACACTGGTCGCTGCGGTTTTGAAAAGGGATCCCCCAGAACTTCCTATAGTCGGGGGCGCACTTCTGAAAATCTGACCCGATTTAGAAATGAATAGGAAGTGAATTAGACTGTCAGATGAAGGCCACTGTAACTCCAAATAAGAGTGTCCACACAGGATTTGAATGTGGTTTAACTAATTCACTTTGGGTACGTCTACACTAGCCCTCTAGGTCGATCTAGGGAGGCTAATGAGGGCGACCGAAATTGCAAATCAAGCCCGAGATTTAAATATCCTGCGCTTGATTTGCATGTTCCCAGCTGGTCACCATTTTAGAAATTGATCAGCCCGAAGTAACTGCCCGCGTCTACACGCAGCAGTGAAGCGGGATTCCCATTTGAAGCTCCTAAATCGAATTAGCTGGTATTCCTCCTGCAATGAGGTTTACCAGCTAATTCGATTTAGGAGCTTCAAATGGGAATCCCGCTTCACTGCTGCGTGTAGACGCGGGCAGTTACTTCGGGCTGATCAATTTCTAAAATGGTGACCAGCTGGGAACATGCAAATCAAGCGCAGGATATTTAAATCTCGGGCTTGATTTGCAATTTCGGTCGCCCTCATTAGCCTCCCTAGATCGATCTAGGGGGCTAGTGTAGACGTACCCCTTAAGCATTTAAGTCTACACAGGTACTTTACAACACTGTAACTTTCTGGATCAAGGGTGTGAAAACACACACACACACACACACACACACGTAAAGTGCCAGTGTGAATGGCTCCCAGAGCTGCTAGTTCTTCCCCTCGCAGAAGTGGTTTATATGGAGTGCTGGGAGAGCCTCAGATTAACTTTCTGGGATGTCCCCATGTAGACAAGCCCTAAGTAAAATCAGAGCAAGGGCTTCAGAGTTTGGGGTATTTTATTTATGTTCAGGCAGCAGGTTTACTTGCCTTACGCTCTAACAAAGCATCGACTAACTAAATACTGTCCTACTGCGTGCACTGTCCCGTGGTCCTGTCTGGCTGTAAAGCTGCTGTGTTTTGTTGATTGCAGTCTGTGGAGAACTGTATCTGTATCCTTCACAATCTGTCCTACCGCCTGGATGCCGAGGTGCCCAACAAGTACACCCAGCTCAACCACATTGCAAGGAATGCCTCCATGGACAAGCCGGAGCGGGAAGCTGGATGTAAGACATGCTCCCCCTTACGAGTGCTTGCAAACACCCCATTGACTCAGCCCGTCACTGGGCACATGGGACGAGCGCCCTGCCCCTGCTAGAACGGTGATAGGAGGGGCTAGATGGGACTCCCGTGGCCTCCAGGTGGTACATCTGAGTGTGCGGCAGCATGCGCCAGGCCACTCCAGATGTAGAGCGGGAAGCTGGATGTAAGACATGCTCCCCCTTACGAGTGCTTGCAAACACCCCATTGACTCAGCCCGTCACTGGGCACATGGGACGAGCGCCCTGCCCCTGCTAGAACGGTGATAGGAGGGGCTAGATGGGACTCCCGTGGCCTCCAGGTGGTACATCTGAGTGTGCGGCAGCATGCGCCAGGCCACTCCAGATGTACGTGAGCGCCCGCGCAAGCAGGGATAAGGACGCGTGATCCATGTAGAACACAGCAGGCTCTCAGCTGCCGCTCTCCTCCTTCCCCTTAGAATGAAGAATACGCTCTGCCCCTGCCCGAGGAGGAGTACAAGCCCCGAGGGCCCAGCTGGCTCTACCATTCCGATGCCATCCGCACATACCTGAACCTGATGGAGCAGAGCAAGAAAGATGCCACCCTGGAGGCCTGTGCCGGGGCTTTGCAAAACCTCACTGCAAGCAGAGGACTGGTAAGCACGCTTTGTGTGTGTGTGTGTGTTGACAGAATTTTCCTTCACCAAGAATCTCCAGGTTTTCAGGGTTCATTCCTGATTTGAAATAAAGCCAATTTTCAGATGCCGTCTCGCCACGAAGCCCTCTTTCCTTTGGACCTGGGAGCCTAATTCCTTTAGGTGCCTTTAGAAATCCCAGGCTCAAACTGGGTTAGGTTGTGTAGCTTAGGAAAAACAGTTGTCCCATGGTAAAAGGGAGATTGGTGGAGCGCGGAGGGTGTGTTTAGGGGGAGCTGGACAGGAATGCGAGCTGTGTTACACTGGTCAGCGTTCCTTACAAGAGCAATCACCTCACCAAAGTCTCTTGGCTAAAGTATGGTATTTGTATGCATGGGCAGGCAGTAGAGGCCCAGCTGGGGCGGGCGAGCCCAAGCCACGCCCCTTCCCACAAGACACCCCCCTTCAACAACCTTCTCCCCCAGCCAATCCCTGCCCAACCCCAGCCCTCAAGCCCAATGCTTTCTGGCCACCCGGAGAGAAGGGCTGCTGCTCTGTGGTCCCAGTCCTCCCCAGCGGCCAGGGCCTGAGGCCTTGATTCTGCACGTTTTCCTGGGCGGAGAGGGATGCCTAGGAGAACCCCAGATCCTCAAGGTCTTTAGGCACCTAATTCTCCTTGCACTAAATGGGAGTTAAGCACCTAAATACCTTTTGGGGATCTGGGCCCACGTGGGGACCCAAGAATAACGAGTGATATGGATTCAACGTCTCAGAGGGGAGCCATGTTATGCTGTAATTTAAAAACCAGGGAGTAGTCCTGTGGCACCTTAGAGACTAACAGATACGTGGGATCACGAGCTTTCGTGGGCACAGCCTACTTGCTCAGATGAGTGGAGTGGAGAAAAAAGGGGGACCCTCGCCATTTCAATGTATATATATTTTTAATGTATTTTATATTGATTAGGTTAGTACCTAGCTCCCCTTCCCTACCTTTCTCTAGTGCATCTACCCAGAAATACGGAACCGAATGCACCAGTCCGGAGCGGGCCGGCGCTTGGCACTCGCTCACAAACTCGAATTTCTCCCCTAGATGTCCAGTGCCATGAGCCAGATGATTGGCTTGAAGGAGAAGGGTTTGCCGCGTATTGCGCGGCTCCTCCAATCCAGTAACAGTGAAGTTGTCCGGTCTGGGGCTTCCTTGCTGAGCAACATGTCCCGGCATCCTATTCTGCACAAAACCATGGGTAAGGAGCGTCCCTACAGGCCTAGGGGTTGTCTAGCATCCCCCCTGCTTTCACAGGCCCACCCTCTGTTGTAAGCCGTCAGTTGACTGCCATGTATCCCCACCGGGCATAGGTCCTCCAAAGAAATGCCCTGATGTGCCCATGGCTGGTGCTACTGGCCATGAGATGCTATTAGTCCTGTGCTGTAAGGAACCTCGGCTGACGTCTCTGGAAGCAGCACAGTCTGGTTAACAAATCTCCCATTAGCAGGCCCCTCACTTGATCCCTGGCATGTTTCATGAATCAGACAAATCAGCTGGTTTCTCTCATTCTTTTGCTGGGAGAGGGTGTGTGTCTCCTGGTTGCGCTGGACTTGGCTTCGTGGGCATGTTCATCGTGACTATGTAGAGGAAGTAAGACCAGATCCTCAAATCATAGGCACCCACTTCTCGAACCCACCTCTGCTCCAGGCCCCGCCCCTGACTCCACCCTTTCCCCTGAGTTCCCTCCCCATCTCTTCCCTGACTCCTCTCTGAACGCTCCTCCCTTCCCTTGAATGCCTGAAAGCTTGAATGCTGCCAATCAGGGCTGGTCCTAACCCATTGGCGACCCTGGGCAACTGCCCAGCTCACCGGTAGGGTTGCCAGATGGTTTAGAAAAAAATATTGGACAAAAATTTGTTGAGCAAAAAAAAAAGGGGGGGGGGGGTCAGGGAGAAACCAGGGAAACCTGGGGGGAGGATTCGGGAGGTCAGGCCAAAATGCGGTCGCGGCCCGCCCCTAAGACCAGCGCTGTTGGTGGCCCCATGAAAATGCCGGTCCCGGGTGACCGCCTGGCTCACCCACCCCAAGACCAGCTCTGCTGCCAATCAGCTGTTTGTGGCATTCCAGAAGTGCTGTGGGGAGGAGCAGGATTGCTGGCACGCGAGAGGTGTGGCGGGAGAGGGCCAGGGGGGAGTTTGGTGCTGATGGGTGCTCTGCCACTAATTTTTCCCCATGGGTGCTCCAACACTTAAGCACCCATGGAGTCGGCACCTATCCTGAAATGTGTGTAGGTGCACAACTCCCACTGAACGAGGCAGGTGCGATTCTTAGCACTTACGGCTCGTGGGACTTTTTCAGGAGGTCTCACTGATCTGCGCTGGTTTTTATTTCTGTCCTAACTGGAATATGCCTCCAATGTAGCTCCCCAGGTGCTTCCAGATGTGACCCGTCTCCTGGCCTTCCAGTCTGCGAACGGCAGCAACGTGGGAGATATCATGTCCTCTGCCTGCTACACCATGCGGAACCTAATCATGTCCAACCCACAGATGGCCAAGCCTTACCTGACAAACAGCATGCTAAACAACGTAGTAAACCTGTTCCGGAATGGGTGAGTGGCGGGGCGGAGGAGGCTGGAGGCCTACGGGCAAACACATTCACCATGTTAGCAATTGCGCCCATGCCCACTGGGCCGGGAGCACCCGCATCCCTGATGCAAGCCTGCTTGGTGACCACTCTGAAAGACCCAGCAATCACCAGGCCCTGGGGAGGTACAGTAGGTCAACTCCTTTAGATCTCTGTGGAGGGGGTTGCAGGTGGGGGAAGTAGCAAACATAGGGCCTAAGCAGAGCAATTGCTCAGGGCTCCAAGCTATAGGGCACCCACAGGCTTCAGCCCCAGGGAATGAAACTCAGGCTGTGGACCAAGCGAAAACCAGGCTCAAGCATGGCATGAAATGGCAGGTTTCAGAGGTAGCCCTTCCAGCGGAGCTAATTCCATCAGGGTGGGCGTGGATAAGCAGGTGAGAATACCTAAAGTGGGAAAGTACTTAATTGACTTAATTCATTTTCCACTTTAGGTATTTTCACCTTTTTATCCACCTCGTCCCTGACTTAACTGACTCGGATGTAACACTCCCCTCTCTGTATCCCTCCCATCTGTTTCTTTTTCTTTCCCTTCCTGCATCTGACGAAGTGAGTGGCAACTCACAAAAGCTTATGCCTGGATAAAGTTGTTAGGTTTTAAGGTGCCATTGGACTGCTTGTTGTTTTCACTGACATGGAAGTACAATATTTATATTCCCGTTGCTTTATTTTATAATTCTATGGGAAACACCCGGGGGCCAGGAATTTTTCAGTCCTGGTGGTTGTGGCAATGCTGGGTTCTTATGTCTGATTTTGTAAGCAAGATGTTTTTAAGGGAGGGGAAACACGGGGTTTGTGAGACAAATCAGCCTCTGGAAAAGGGAACAGGTGGCTGGAAAGGGTGAGAGCCTTTGCTCTATAGCACATCAGCCTTTGTATTAACTAACGGTGAGGCATCCTGGCCTGTGATTTTCACACCTGTTGTAAAGTGTCTGGAGGAGTCAGATTGTTTTCATCGACGATCAGTCAGAGTCACATAGTCTGGCCATAGTCTGTTGCTGCTAATTGTTTGGCCATGTGCACCCACCCCTATGACTGGGGGG